TATTGACTAATCCTAGTAGACATTCTGCTTTTGGTCATACATTTAACAAAAACAACAAAAAAGTGAGCTGGCCTGGTGGCACATGCCTATAATCCCAGTACTGAAGAAGCTCAGGCAGGAGGATCACCACAATTTTTTTTTGGTGGGGGGAGGTTTGAGACAGGGTCTCACTTTGAGACTGACCTAGAACTCACTACGTATCCCAGGCTGGTCTTGAACTCACAGTAATCCTCCTGCCTCAGCCTCCCCATTGCTGGGATTACAGGTGTGCGCCACCACGCCTGGCCATCACCACAAGTTTGAGGCCAGCCTGGGCTACCTAGGGAGTTCAAGGCCAGACTGCACTACACAGCAAAACCCAGTCTCAAAAAAAAAAGGTATGATTAAGACTTTTAAAAATTCTGCCAGAGAACCAAAGTAAGGTGTGCAGTGTTTGGTGAGTACTATGGGTATTTCAGTAATTACTTATGTAAAAAAAAATATATAAGATTTTGTATCTTAAATAATTATGCATTTTCTTGTAATCTCATGGATTACCTGGGAAGGCCCAGCTAGGATGGCTTATCATTTAATTATTCATTTAATAAGGACTGGGCTCACTCAGAAAGTTTGGATTCGGGTGGAGGATCCATGGCCTCACTTCTGGTCTTTTAAAAGGATGGCTGAAGGGCTGAATTCCTTGTCCTTACGGTCTTCTATCCTCCAAACTCTCTCCATTTTCAAGTTGCCATTGGGGGTAACTGGACCCCCATGAAGGCTCAGGCTCAAGCTGCTTAAGGCCCAGGGGCTGGAACAGAGAATATTGCTTCTGCTACATTTTGTCCACTAAATTTAGTCAGAAGGCCAACTGAGATGTAAGAGGATGGGAAGTAAACATCTTGAAGGGAAGAGTGGCAAAATCACAACGTATGAGAGATAGGAGTCATTGTGGCCAACTCTGGAACTGATCCACCACAGCCGATAGGAGGAAAAGTTAAGTGTCAGGCACGGCGCAATTAGGCTTACATTCTTTTTCTTTTTTTTTTTTTTTTTTGTTTTGGG